GCTGCGACGTTTTCGGAGACGTCTGTTACCCACCAGCTCGATCATCTCGTTTGATGCGGATCTGTGTCGCCTGCCTGCTTTATTTAAATATTGGCTTTTGTGTGTGTATATTTCACATTTGTCCATTTCAGTTTTTATTTAAGGTTTATGACATAACAGGATGTTATGTAATGAATAACTAATAAACAGAATCCTGTATGAAATGAACTCATGGAAACCCAAAGAACACGATCGCAGCCGAGCCGACACCGAAACGTGAAGGTCGGCATTTTGTGCAGTTTTTTTATTTTTAGGATCTTCGGCCTCTTCGCTGATTTTCTCTTCTCTCTCTGTGCTCTGATGCCTCTTCCTCCTCCTCCTCCTCCTCAGATGGTTGGATAAGGAGAAAACAGCCGAGTGTGTCTCAGCCTCTGCTGTTATGTAACAGTGTTCAGATATTAGTCAGGGCCGGCCTCCTCGTTACACTCAAAGCTGAGACCCTGCAGAGAAACCGAGCGCTGGATTTCATCTGATTAAAAGGTTCCTTCACCCAGATTTTACCGCTGATCCCTCAGTGGGATTTTCCTGACTCACAGGCTCCAGTTTCAAGGCATCGAAGACCCACCTTAGCTCCCCGCGCCGCCCTCGTCGGGGCCCTGCAGGTCGTCACGTGCTAAACTGTGGAAACACCCTGAAGCCACATATCCTGCTGAGGGGGGAGCACAGACTGTATATAAAAGACGGACATGATGGCTCCTCCCACCTGAGCAGTGACCAAACACCGTGCCCATCCATGAGTGAAAACCAGGAACTGCTAATCGGCTCATGTGAGAGACGGGTGGGTGCTTTAGTTGTTTGGTTGTTTTTAGCGTCTGTGTGATGTCAGACTGAACACACGTAAGAACACGCCCACTCGCCCCCAACCTTCCAATCATCTGCTCTCTGTCGTTTCTGTCTCGGCTGAGTCAGTGCAGACACCAGAGGGGACGGTGTAGGTGCGGCTGTGGCTATTTCCTGGAACAACCTGTGCAGCACAGGCAGCGCCCTCGTCAGGCTGTCTGAGAGTTGCTGGACAAGAGCAGGAGCGATGCTACATCATTTATACCGCCATCGCAGCGTTGCACCTCCTGCCTCTTCCTGCTGGTCTCAGATCAGCGTTTACCGTCACGGCCTTCACGTCCTCTGACGGCCGGGTCACACGCAGACCTGCAGGCTGACAACGTTTCACTGATTATTAATCAAACTCTGTCCATTGACTTCCATCAGCCCCTGACCTATGACCTCTCATTCTGTGTGTGTGCATTTCTAAACTGGATGGTGATGTGGAGGAACAGCAGCGAGGGAACAGACTCTGATTGGCTGGTTTTGGAGGCAGGGATGATGCTGATTGGCTGCTGGTGGAGCTGTTTTCAGACTGGCTGAAGTTTTATATAAAACATATTTTTAAGCTGGAATTAAATATTTAATCTTACAGGATCATTTTCTTTGATAGATTTCAGAAAGTTTATAAAACGTATGAATTTTTTTTGTGTGGGGGGGGGGGGGGGTATGGGTTGTCCAATCTGTCTACTATACTTTTGTTTTTTTCTGGAGGCCACGGAGGGGGGTCATATTTGGAAAAAGATTTATTTAAATAACTTGATTTATATTATTGGCCTTACACTTAAAAAGCCAGTTTAAAATGTGAAATTTTGTATTTTATGTATTTTTTGTTTCAGATTTGATCTTAGCTGTGTGTGTGTGGTGGGGCTGGGGGGCATCTATCTCCTGGGTGTGTTTGAAGGTCAGCGAGTCCTCTGCTGTCACGTCCTCTGTTAAGGATTTCCACAGGGAGGCGCCCGCGATGCCTTCAGGGACCTCGTCGCACACGTACATGTTTGTACTGAACATCCCCAGACCCTCAACCCGAACCCTGAGCTGGACCTGAAAACCTGAAACCGTTGTTCCGGACCGGAGCAGTGCAGCCATTCTGATGAAATTCGTTGCTGGAAGGATCCGATGATTTTAAATCGGTGAAGAATGCAGTGATTTTAACAACCTTACTGCAGCCGTAGGCGGGATGACAGCGACGTTTACCGGTTTTAAAAACATGAAATTGGTGCATCGTGTCCAACATTCGCCCTGAAGGCCGGCGGCTCGTTATCAGGAGGAACCAGCGAGAGGAGCTCAGGAGAAATTCGTCTCCTGATCGATCGGCTCGGCGCTGAAGCAATGAATGAACTCGTTTCTGCCTGCAGATGCTCACGTTATTATTTTTATTATTTTTCCTCCTGTAGGTTTTTTTCTTGAAGAAGTAGAGCGACCCAGTTTCAGACATGTGGTGTGTTTTTTGTCGGGGGGATCGGGAATAACGAACCATCTGCAGGATGGAGTCGGCGCCGTGCGGGTTGCGAACAGACGCTCGTACGTTCAATCTAAAGCTTTTCCTTTTTCCTGCACAGCGTCAGGCTTTACAAACCGCAGAGGACGGCCCCAAACGTGACAGATGAGGCGCTGCGATGAGTTCGTAGCCTCATCTCCATAAATTCACATCAGATATGAACAAAGTAACATGTTTAACACGCTGCAGGAATCCATGATCAGCGATTTTAACTGCATGATCTAAAAGTAAGTTAGAGCTTCCAGGAAGTTCTTGGACCCAAACAGACACACTTACATCTTCTTAAACCGTTAAACACAACGCCAGAGTTCGAGTAACTGTTGGAGGAAGTCCTTCCTCTTTGTCCGCTCTGCAGGAGGCGGGACTACCGAGGGTCTTAGAGCTCAGTTTTTAAAGGAAGAAGAACATAGTGCGCCGTGATTGGTCAGCACGTCAGCGAGTCCTCGTCCTGTCTCTTCCCCCTCAGCCTGAACCGGTCGCAGCAGATGGCCCCGCCCCTCCCTGAGCCTGTTTCTGCCACAGGTTCCTGTTAAAAGGGAGTTTTTCCTTCCTACTGTTGCTCACAGGGGGTGATGATGGTTTAGGTTTCTCTGTATTACCTCAGGGTCTGACAGTATAAGATGCTAAAGAAATAAGAGTGAATGAAACATGACCTGTGCCCTCAGCAGCACTTCACTGGGACGTGACAGTGATGTCAGTGTCGCTGAGAGTCTGAAACAGCTTCAGCACCTTTACCTGGTCAGGTGTTACATCACTGCAGCTGCTGTCTCATTAAGTTAATTTTGGAAATGTCAGTCACAGGGGGGTTGGGGTACCCTGTGAGTGGGCGTGGCTACTCTACCATCATGTGGTTTAACGCTGGCTTTTTCAGTCCAGCTTGAATCACTCGGCTTGAAGCTTCCAGATGAGCCTTTGCAAACCAGTGGGTGACATCGTGGATACGTCTGTCTTTTATTTACCGTCTATAGTCTGCCCTGACACTGGGAGCGTTCAGGTCCGTGGACAGAGCGATGCTGATGTCCGCCTGTCTCACTCTGGTGTGTCGGCGTGTGTTTCCTGTGTGTGTTGATGCCGTGGCATCGGGTCTTTGGCTCAGGCGAGAGAGAGCATCAGGCCTGCAGCTAGCTGACATCATTAGCATCGCCCACAGTGAGAACTGTTGGCAGGATGGACTGAGGAAGCTGCCACGGCCTCTATGGGCGGGCGGCGGAGCCAGGTGGAGACACCTGAGTGGGACTCAGAGGACATGTTTACAGCAGAAACAAATAAATCACAGTGCTGATGAAAGCAAAGGCAGACGTGACGCCTCATCTTCAAGGCAGGCATGTGCCGGCAGAAACGTGTGTGACGAGTGGCTTTAATGTTTGGTTTGTAAAACATAAAAATAGATATGTTAGTGACACCTTCTTCTTCTTCCCAGCAGTTAAAACTGGAACAACATGATCATTAGTAATCAATGAGTTTGTAGGCTGATTAATCCAAACACTGAGTCTCCTCTGCAGAGGCAGAGTGACGCAGGGGGAGGACAGAGGGTGCAGAGGGACACCATCTCTGCACGTATAAAATAAATAAAATAAAAATAAAAATCCCATGTTAAAATAAACATGGCAGTCTATAGGGACAGACTCGCTGCTGCCTCTGCTGGGCGTCAGAGGAACTGCAGGTTTCGATGGGTTTAACGGAGCTTTAACAACGTGCTGAGCGCTGGTTTAGATTTGACACAGAAACAAAGTTCACTTCTTTTATCTTCCTTTAGTTTTTATGGTTTTATGTAGGCGGAGCTTCATATTGTGAATAATGGGCCTCATAGATACAGTAACCTGATCCCGCCTTCAGCCTGTCCACCTGCCTGTGTGTCGGGTATCTGCAGAGAGTTTACTGAACATCAGGGATTGTGCTTTTTGTCGTCTGCGGTCGGCGGACACACACACTCACACACACACACTCACACACACTCACACACACACACACACACGTCTGTATTGATAATAACAGAATTCCATTCAGCGTAACTGAACACCTGTTTCAGCCTGAAGCACCTGTCCCTCGCTCCTCTAAGGAGAACATCTGAGTTTAATAAAATGTTCCTGCGTTCGTCTGTGAAACAGCTCCATCATCGTCATCTTCATCCTGGACTATTTCAATAATATTATTAATTTTTCTGTCTTTTTATTCCCCTGTGTTCGTTTTTCTTTAATTTTCTTAATATTTTATTTAATTTTGTTTTAACATGTTTGTGTATTTACTTTATTTTTAAATGTTGTTCCTTCTCTTTCTTCATTAAAATGCTGATTTATTATTTAATTTTAAATTTATTTATTTGAAGCAATAATATGTCATATTTGTCGTATTCAATTTATTTTAATATTTTTTATTTGATGTCTTTACATTTTTATTTCATTATTTCTTTAAATATTATATCATTTTTCAATTTTATTTAACAATAATGTCATATTTAAATAAACTGAAAATTACTTTCTCGGTCGTTGGCGTGGTGATGCCCTGCTGCGGTTGCTTGGAAACCTCCTGTTTGCTTTTACGGAGCGGTTTCCCTCTGTGTGTCCATCTGTGGGCCTCAGCGTCAGTCTTCATCACTGAAGCATCATCACCACACCGATGACATCATGTTTCCTGTCTGCAGGCAAAGGACAGCGACGACGATGAGGAGGTGGTGCAGGTGGACAGGGACCACTTCATGGACGAGTTCTTCGAACAGGTGAGGCAGCGCGCTCAGGTGACTGCAGGCAGTCATGTGACCACTGGGTTAAATCATGAACTGGACACTGTGAGGGTCGTAAACAGCAGCTGGGAACACTGGGACTGTTCAGTCTGAGACAAACGATTACTCAGAGGTCGCTGTTTGCACCGAAACAAAGACACAAAGGTGTCCTGAGGCAGACGCGACCGAAAACACAGAAATAAAAATGTTTTGGCTGCGATGGAGCGAGCTCAGGATTCAGGCTGCATGCCATCAGCACGTTGAAAAGCAAAAGCAGACAAAGAAGTAATGATGTGCAAAATCACATTAACCTTTAAAGCCCACCGTAGAACCAAGTCTGCCCGAGCGTAGCTTCACATCTTTACCTGCAGTTGTGACGTTGTTTGGAGCATTTCAAGTTGCTTTACATCAATATGCCCCAAGTTTTAATGACATGTTTGCATTAAGTTCGTAATAACGAAATACATTAAACAACAAGAAAATAAAAGTCGTTTCTGGTTTTTTACACATATTTCGAGCTTCATCCCTCAGAATGCAAAGTTGCATTTAATCGTTTCAACCACAGGAAATTTATTCTGAGTGTCTTCATAGTTTCATTTTTGAGATTCAAGAATTTTTACAAACTGCAGGAAAAACAAATATAAATATTATTGTTCACAAATTACAAAAACCGCATCAAAATAAACTGTTTCCAACAGTGAAAGCACACAGGCACAAAGTAAACCTTTGGACCTGTGCGGCAGACAGGAACCGGATTTAAAATGGTTGCACGAATCAGAGCGTGCACCCTTAAAAGGTTAATGGACATTAGGACGTCCCAGAGTAGAAGAACATAAACATCAACATGAAAACATCAAGTGAGCGAAAACTCATAAAACATCTTCAAAACATCAGAAACAGGCGACAGAAGTATGGGCTCAAAATGTGGTCATAAACTTTTTGTACTTGTAAAAAAGATTTGTGTGTGGACTTAGAAAAAAACCCTGCAAGTTACAAGTACAGATTTTGACCCTATTTTTCTTCCTTTCATCTGATTGGTCAATGTCATGTCAATCACAAATGTAACGATCCAATCAGAGAACAGATGGGTTTGGCTGTCGAGGGGCGCTTTTTTTTGAACTGCAGGTCCTTGAAGGGAATAAATGCCCTTTTACATGCCAACCCAGCGTTTTCCTTCATCACCACGAAGGAAAACAGTCTGTGGTCGTCCGAGTTTGGTGATTTTTGTGTCACAGGTCTACGTGTTTAATACAGGGACATCAACAGCGCTGCGGACCGCGGGGTGGGGGGGCAGTGTTTTGGAAAATGACAGTCTTCATCACAAAGCTTTCTTCGTTATGAATTAGCATACATGTTTTTATTGAACATTTAAAGAAACAGCAAAAACAAACTCTTGTAGAGGACATAAAGTCAGAGATAGAAAAGACAAGGAGCAGGTGCATCTAGTACAGGTAGAGCTGCTGCACACAGAGCTCAGCAGCCAGCAACACACTCTGGATCCTTGGCTTTTAGTTAGCAGTTAGCATTAGCAGCACATCCTGCGTCCGATGTGAAAGGACTTTTATGCTGCGCACTGTGACTCACAGCAATGGTCCCGGGTCAGCTCTGACTTTGTGCTAAATTAAACCTAAAGTAATAATGTGTTTCTAACCACTGATATACCACAACTTTATCCTTTCAACAGCTGCTGAAAGTTAGGGGACCTAGCTGCTATCAGATATTTATATAGAGGTCCTCCAGCTTCAAACTGTATCACCCTTCAAGGACCTGCAGTTCAAAAAAAGCGCCCCTCGACAGCCAAACCCATCTGTTCTCTGATTGGATTGTTACATTTGTGATTGACATGACATTGACCAATCAGATGAAAGGAAGAAAAATAGGGTCAAAATCCGTACTTGTAACTTGCAGGGTTTTTTTTTTTCTAAGTCCACACACAAATCTTTTTTACACACACAAATCCTGATTTACAAGTACAAAATATTTATGACCACATTTCGAGCCCATACAGAAGCTGTAAAAAACTACAGCTTGGCTTAAACAAGCTTTAGTTCAGGTTTAATGTTATCACTGACTGAGGCCCTAAAACCAGCTCATGATGGGAAATAAATGTCGTGTTTGAAGACTGATTTTGTTCTTGTGTGTTTTTGGTTCAGGTGGAGGAGATCCGAGGCTGTATAGAAAAGCTGTCGGAGGACGTGGAGCAGGTCAAGAAGCAGCACAGCGCCATCCTGGCCGCACCCAATCCTGACGAAAGTAAGACCCTCAGGCAGCCTCACGGAGCCGCCGCGACGTCTCGCAAACGTCTCAGTTTCAGCTTCTTTCCGACTCCATCGCCGCAGAGTACAACTAATGCAGTGACCAGCAGGTGGCGATATCTGCGGTTCTGTAGGAGTCTGTTATCTAAGGAGCTCGGACAGAAACGATTCGGGTGATGTTACCATGGTCGCTACAAACGAGAGTTTGACACCGAGCTGTGGCGATTTTCATTTTCGTAAAGTCGCTAAAAAAAAGTCAGAAATTAGCTTCAAAAATGATAAAACAAATGAAGGCGACTGAACCGTGAACTGGTTAAAAGTAAGGAGGTATGAAGAGCAGCGTCACAGCGTATCCCTCCGCCACAGCAGCTGTGTGAGGTTGTGCTGGTCGATCGGCGGGCGCTCTCCAAACGCTGTCCACGTGTCAGAACCCTTCAGTAACTCGACCTCAGAGTGACCTCTAATCCCGTTAACTGCTGGCTGACGAATGCTGCAGCTCGCTGCTGGCAAACCGCCACTGAGCGCGCCCATCCGTTGCTCCGCCACTCGTCCTGACACTGTGGGGGGACGATAAGAGCGTCTCCGGTCTGAGAGCACAAGGCCTGGCGAGTCCCAATCTCGACACGGCGTGCTGTGACTCAGCAACAATGACTCAATGTCAGCGCTGACACCGACAGCCACGTCTGCGCCGTCAGAGTCTCCGCCTCAGGGGTTCCGCTCCGCGTCGGGCTTCGACCCTTTTTAGCTCTTCGTTGGCGAGACGCCGTCCACGCCTTTTACCTCTGAAATCCTCCTGACAGAAGCCGCCTGCTGTCAGGTTTCCTTCGGTGTCGAAGAGGTCCAGAGACATTTCTGTCTCCGTGCACGAGCCAATCAGGATGTAGCAAACTGCCTGGGTTTATGAAATGTGGAGTTGATGCTGGTTAATGGCGTGCATGAGCAAAATGAGCCTCTGAGGAAGTTCTAGCAGCAGGAAACGTAAACAGGCGCTGAACAGCGACTTTGTGCTGCAGCTCGTTTTAGTGTCGAACAGCTGACTGTGAACAGCTGACTGTAAGTCATCAGCTGGACCCACCTGCTGTGACCTCGTAGCGCCCGCACGCCGCCCGCTCCTGTTTAGCCGCGTGAGGAGATGATTTATAACCTTCTGTGTCTGTTTGAAGAACAGGATGCGGCTTCATGTTTGCACCTTTTCTGTTTGCTCTGCATGCTGTCCGACTGTCTGCACGCTGTTTTTCTCTTTTGTTGCTGCATGATTTAAGTTCTTTTCCTGTTTTTCCATCCTTTCCTTTTTCCTTTCCTCCACCCTCTCCTCCCTCTCTCTCGCTGTCGTCGCCGTCGCTCCCTCTGATCCCCGCCCTCATGCTGTGAAGTCTGTTTAAACTGCATGAAGTGACGTTAACCTCGGAGGAGATGACGAGCCTCGGCTGCCTCGCCGTAAGTGTGTGTAGAAACGCTGTGAGTGTGCGGTGACATGTGAAACCCTTCGGTCGGCGTGAGCTGTGCAGGAAAATGACCGAAGGGGAACGGGTGGGCGTAGCTCTACCTGAGAGTCAGTGCTGTTACACGGCGATACGGGCTAACGAAGAAACGCTGCGTCTACAGGGTGACCCCGACCAAACGCGCCCTCGCTGCAGAGCTACTCTCAGATGCATGCTGGGAGTTTGTGAGACTTTTATAATCCACAAATCTGAGTTTAAACCTGGTTAACTGAAGACTTCTTCCCAGCACACGGACGCTACACGACGCAGAATCATTGCTGCATCATAACTATTGACCCCTGATATCTGCTGGGTCCCAAACTCCTCAAAACTAAACCCGGAAACAAATCTGAACGTTTCCAGAGTTTCCAGAGCAATCGAACGACCGTGTGACATCACAGGGATCCTGAATGTTAGTGATGCTTTACATGTTTACGGCGAGGAACATTAAGCAGAGTTAAAACACGAGCGCAGCCACACGGTCTCCAAGTATTTTAGGTTGCATGAAAGCAGAGCGTTGACGTTCTTCTTTAAACCCTACAGCAGATCGAATGTTAAAGGATGTTCGGTGACGTCTGCAGTACAGACAGCGGCTGAGGTTCTGGAGCTCAGACGGGATCTCTGATGTCTTTAAGCGTCACTTCGTGTTCGTCTGACCTCCGACTCTTCTTCTCCTTCTGGTGAAATCATGTCGCTTTCTGTCTTCTTCTCCCCCTCAGTTCTGGGTCAGCTCGCGCTCAGCTGCCGACAGGCCGTCATGCAAAATGCATCCCTGTGTTTCTGCCTGAATAATGCATGATGGGAATTGTAGTGAGAGCAGAGGAGTACAGCCCATTCATAAACACCCCGCTCGGCCTCGTTCGTCGCAGACCGATATCCGTCTAACGCTCGTCGTCGTCGCCTGACAGGAAGAGGAACAAACCGGTGACCTTGACTAGCTCGTGGTCTCAGTCGCTGGTTTCAGGTCTCCCTGAATAAAACGTGACGTTTGTTTTGGGCGTCGTCAGCATCAGGAAGGAGCAGGAAGTAGGATTTTCTGTGTGGCTGACGGGTCGCTGCCGCACGGATCCACAGTCCCTCCGTCGTCACGCCTCCATAGCCCAAGAGTACTGTGGGCACTTCCATCTTTTATGTACAGCCTGTGGAGTCAAAATGGAGGCACCTGCGTTCAGGCGTACTGGAGGTACAACAACTTCCTGTTGTTATGGTAACACGTTGAAATTCGGCATCACTCGTTTCGTCATATCGGACCGACGTATTGTGATCTCGATTCTGTAGGAATTTGTCCTGATTTTCAGAATAAAAGTACCTGAAAGTGTAAAGAAAGATTTTTGATATAAAAAGAAACCGATGAAGCTTCAGGTCACGCTGGAGACCAACTTCCTGTAAGTCTATAACATGGCCGACGACCACAAAGGGGCAGAAAATGAGTGATTATGATCAGCTCAAGACACAGGCTCGCCGCACGGAAAAGTAAAGTCAGTGTTTAACCGTCACACGTGGAGAGGACCTCGCTGAGGCCGCCGCTACAGCGTCACGTCTTTTCTTTACCAGCAGTTTTAAAAAAGTCGCTGACTCGTCAGAAATGAGTGGAAAAAGGTCATCAGTGGGCTAAACTGAGCTGTGTGCAGCCTCTGCAGGCATGGATGTGCTGACGTTCGAGTCCCACTCGCAGACTGTTCCCTAGCTTTAGCATGCTAGCTAATGAGAGCTGCAGGAGTGAAGCGAGTCAGTGGCGGGAAAGGCCAAGCGGCGCTGCAGCGCTTGTAAATCTCAGCGCGCAGCTGCAGTTGGCGCCTGCTGCCTCCGCTGTCCTCCATCATGGCTGACAGGATGTGATGTTTCTGCACGCCCTCCTGCTCGTCTGCTTCCTCCAGCCTCAGCGCTTACACGACTGCGTGCATCGACCTGATTGGACTCTTAGTGGAAGCCTCGATACACCAGCAGTGAAGGGGAGGCAAACACGACAGCTCAGCTTCTACACAAAACCAAGAGCTGCTCAGCAAAAACAGCTAACAGCCAATCAGAGCCTCTGAATTCAACTCCGACTCGTCGCTGGGAGTTTGAAGGGAAGAGGTGGAGGTCAGGTGGAGTTTGAAGAGGCTGCTCTCAGAACACCAGTTTGTTTTTAACCTGGTCAGATCCAGCAGAGGTCTCGTGATGGTGAAACACCCGATCGATCCTAGACAATACAAATGATCAAATATGAAATATAAACTAGATTAACCATGAAGGGAAATACAGATGTTTGTCTTTCTCTGGCGTTCCGGAAGCTTCCTGAAGAGATCAAACGTGAATCATTTTTCATGATCGTTTCACAAATAGCAGCTCGTCAAATATGAGGAATAATAAAAACCTGATGATAACTCAGAACAACCGTTTTATTGTGTTAGGGCCAGATCTGAGTCAGGAACACCTGTACACCAGGTGCTGGCAGCTAAAACCGACAGGAAACAGGCTCACAGTGTTGGATCTTTATGATGTCAGAGAGGACCACAAAGCCCGCCCACCCGCTCTTCAAACTTTTTGCAGCCAATCAGAAAAAAGCTTTAGCCTTAACGAGTGAGACTGTTTCAGCTTTAGCTTCAGATCTCTGCTGTTGGCGTCACAAACTCACTGTGTTGGTTCTTTTCTTTGCAGAGACCAAGCAGGAGTTGGAGGACCTCACAGCTGACATCAAGAAGACAGCCAATAAAGTTCGCTCAAAATTAAAAGGTACGTCCTGGCGCTGCTGCAGGAAACATCACGGTGCAGGCGAGGAGCTCTGATGAGGAAGCATCTTCTCAGACAGAGCGGAGACGCTCGTATCCAAACCCATTTATATCGACGTCCCACTGCAGACAGCGCCGAGTGAATTCACGACGCATTCTTTAATTACTTTACAGGATCTACTGCGAGGCTCTAGAAGTTCACATTACTCGCTGTGAGTCAGTTTGGGTTATCAGGGAAATCTCTGAAGGACGAGTGTATTTATATTCCTGTCCCATCCCAGCAGCATGAACCCGTTTCCTGCTGCTGTTTGAAGAGGCAGGACTTCGTGCTGCAGCCTGAGAGCTTATTTCGGTGCGCTGTGAGCAGCTTGTTTCAGCACAGAGTCAAACACACGCAGCTTGCAGGTGATTTTCAGCGTCTGTGAACGTTTGAGTTTTGCTGGTTGCTGTAAAACTCTTCAATTAAAAGCAGGATAGTTTACAAGTGTAAATAAAGACCCAGAACAAGGTAAAGAAGGATTATTCTGAACGGATTCATGCAAAGCAGCTATATCAAAGAGTCCAAGAACATGCAGATGGAGGTAGAAATGAGGAGTAGGGTCCTTAAATTACCTGTCAATGACGCGTGTCAGAGGATGTAAAGCTTGCCGTTGTCCCGCCCCCTGATCCACAGCCAAGCTGGCTCACAATCGATCCAGAAGTGGTGATGTCACGTAAGTATAACTTTTAGAGTCAGTCGTACGCCCGGGATCTTTGGTCTATTTGTGTGTTCCTAATATTTTGGACACTGACCTCTGAAAGCCCCTCTCTTGTTCTCACCTGTGTGAAACATGTGACCAGTTCTTTGTGACATTCACAGCAAATAATTCACCTGCGAACAGGTGACACAGGAGGCCACGCCTCATGGCGCCGCCATTCCTACACCCGTGACGTTTTAATGTGAGTCCAGCTTTATTGGAGGGTTTACGGTGTTTTCTGTTGACCTTCAGCAAAAGAAGACAATGTTCAGAAACAGGCGTGGCGGTATATCGAGCAGCAGTCGTTGGTACAGCAACACACGCACTCGCAGGCCAATGAGCTTAAAGCTACTGAGTCAGTTCATGCTGAAGGTTCAAGGACATCACCGCTTTAATATGAACACCCTGAGGATGAAACACACTCACACACACACCAGAACGATGTGTGTGTGAAAACACACAGACGACATGTGCGGTCTGAGAATAGCGCTGATGCTGGAGATAAAGCTATAACTGGAACCCCTGCGAGGCTACGAGTGTTTTTATAAACACACACACTGCAGCAGGTCCTACTGTAGATCTGTCATCCTCGGGGGTGTTTGAGGGATGGGTACAGACAGGCTCTGCCCACAGCAGATTTGTGTTCTTAAAAAGTCTTTGTCTCCGTGTCTGAGCAACTGTGGGTTCAGACTGTGAAACTGTCCAGTTTTTAAAGAGACAGTACCCCTGAATAACATCTGAAATAAGCCCGGCTGCAGTTGCATAGCAGCTTACAGAGGTGGGGCAAGCACATCCACGCCACGAGGTGTTCTGGCGTGACGCGGCGATATTATGTTTTTGATGTTGTCAGCGGTCAGGATGTGTGCGATAAAGCCCTCATTCAAAGATTCACTCATCTGCTGGACTTTTACCAAGAAGAGCAAAGTTTGGGGATGAAGCTCCTTTTTTTTAGACATTCTGCTTCCTATTTCTATCTGTTTCAGTAACATCAATCATCAGTGTGTTCATCAATATGTCAGATTTTCTGTTTCATCATGCTCCTGGACCGTGGTCAGCATGAAGCTCATAGTCCTGCAACAGATTTTTACGTAAGAACAAACATGTTTTTTTCTAAATAAGCTAAAGATGCTAAAGTCGTCCTCAAACACACGAGGACCCACAAGCTGTTGCTTACTCACCGAGTTTTCATCTCACTGTCACACAGACAAATGCACACCAACACCGCGCACACACACCATCAGTGCTACGTGATACTGCTGAGTCATTGTGGATCCAGCAGCTGGGCCACGAGCCAGGAAGCACACACACACACCGTGATTTTATCACATTACAAGATATCAACTTGCATTAATTTCATGGAGACTTAAAGCAGGTCCTAGCATAAGATTTCATCATCTTCATTACCACAGTGTTCCCAACAGACGTGGGTCCCCACATTGTATCTAAAACAAGAACAGTGACTGAGTGGAAACCATTATGTAAGCATTTCAGCTCATCAAATGCCAGAGACAAACTCACATCAGAGTCACATGACACAGGACAGACCTGCAGCCGGTTACCATGGTGTCCACGCATGCACACACACTGCACTGAGGTAACGTCCAGCTGTGACGTTCTTTTCATTTTACATTCCTCACAGATCTCAGTCTGTCTGACCTTGCATTAGTTCATCTGCAGCTCTAGTCTTTGCATCGCCCCCTTCAGGCTGACAAGCTTATTACAAAATCCACACTTCAGGAGCGGTTCTCATGCTGTGGGCAAAAAGCCACTAAGGAATTGGCAATAATCACCCAATATAAAGAGAAACTAAGACGAATAACTAAATCAAATCAATCTACTGCAGAGTTTGTGCTGAAGTAACACAAACAAATGTTCACAGCAGACGAGGAGAAACGTGTCGGTTCCTGTTACTGCAGCCAAAGGTTTAGTGTTTGTAGGTTCAACAGTGTGTGTGTTCACTGCAGTCAGGCTGCTTCAGTGTGACATCGTTACACTTAACAGAGCTTTTGACGCCATGTAGTCGACCTCTGCTGTCACAGCTTCTGGATTGTAATTAGGGCTGAACGATATATCGCATTTGCGATAATATCGCGACATGATCAAGTGCAATTTTCT